TTATTATATATATATATATATATATATATATATATATAATGAAGAGTTTTAAGAGAAGACCATCATAGAATCACTTTGGTCTCAAGTCTCAACTGATTCCCATCGCTCGTTTGATACGTGAGAGAGAGGGAGGGAGGGAAAGGGTAGAATCTATGGACTACGTTTATATAATATGCAGTCCCAAAGTCTATTTAAAAACAATTAAAACTAATAGGCCAAATGTTTTTTTTATAACATAATTATTTTAATTTTTTAAAATTTATTTATTTATTTATATTCATAATCGCCGTATTAGAAATTAGATGTCCTAAAAAAAAATTGAGTCCGAAAATCCATCTCAAAAGTAGACTTTTAAGAGAGACTCATTTCTGAGTAGACTCATAAAAACCGTATCCTTAATATAAAATGGCATAGTTTTTTAAACTCGAGAAAGAGTGGAAAGCTAGAGAGAGAGAGCCACCACACCACAATGACTTCATGCAAGTGTCAGGTCGCCGCGAGAGAGAGTGAGAGAGAGGCTGGTTCAAAGAAGGAAAAAGTTTATATAAGGTTGCAACCTAATAAGTAGAATTATGGAGGGACCTAAAAAATCCATCCAAAAAAGTAGTTTTTATGTTGAAAAGCTTTTTGATTGATCATCTCGACATCCACATGTATGACCATGAAAAATATAAATATTAGAAATAGTACATTTTACAACATATTATCTACACCATCCATTTTTAATATTTTTATATGTTTATAGATATATTTGATTTTAATCATTTTTGAAATTTAAAATTTTATAATTAGATATAAAAATAAATTTTAAAATAATCCTAAAAACATTTTATAACAAAATTATATACCATGATAAAATTTAAAAGTGCACCTTACTTCTACACCTACGGATGCATCCGTATGCTAACTTCACCCTTCAAAGAATGCTTTGGTGTCCCATTCATTTGCACTTTATCATCCCTTGGCGAATTTGGAAAACGCATTAAAAAATGGAAGCGGTTTTGGTGCGTGAGGCAACCAGTGTGTGCAAAACCGGCCGCAGGTTAGGGTAGTCAACAATCTCGATCACCCTAACTTAAAAATTAAAAATAAGAAATTATTAAATAATGAAGATTTTTAATGTTTGTTTTATTAAAATTGAGAAGTATTTTGGCCATAACTATCACTTTTTATATTTTTCTTCTTTTGGAATTATTTTCCAAGATATTATTTGGAGCAAATTGATGTTTCAAAATTTATGTTTTACTAATTTTTAATTTCATTTGGATGTCTTTTATTTAATAACATACTTTTTCCTTTTGTTTTTTTTTTTTTTTGAGACTTTTGAGGTTTTGAGACTTTTTTTAAAAATTTAACCTTTTTTGGCCCAATAGAACGTACTTGACTTGGGCAGGTTACCCAGACCAATTTCGGGTTTCCTAGAACATGCCCATCACTGGGTTCTGTGGCCGATTCGTTCAATTGAACATTGGAGCCAACTAATGCACCTAAAGCTTAAAAATAGGATAAGTGACACAAATCGCCCATCAAAAAAAATGGATTCGATAACCCGTCCAGATTGGCAATCCGGCGAAGTAAGCATGCCAATAAAAAAATAAAAATAAAATTAGAGGAATTTTTTTTTTTATAGTGTGATCTCTGACAGAACATGTTAGTTCTTTACAAAAACCGGACCGGTCTATCTAGTTCTTGATTAGAAACGATCGGTTCTAATGTCATATAACCATTTTTTTAACCTTGCATGCACATTAATCTTATCTCCAAAAGATTTACTTTATAAAAAATACATTTGTAAGATTTTTTTTTCTTTTCAGATTCATGAATTTGTGAATGAAAGCATCAACGTGTAAAATTTTAGATCTAAAATTCTTAAATTTCTTGAAGGCAACTGCATCCTATCATTAGTACAAAAGGATCATAATCACTCTTAACCGACATAAAGTCTGTTGGTTGGGGGCATATATTACTACGTTTAAAGTTTGAGATGGTTTTGTATGGAGAAATTACACAACCCCGAAAGCTAGTATTCATGGTACAACTAAAGGTGAATGTGATCATTTTATATCAAATAAAACGTTCCAATGGTATAAAATTCAATAAAATATCTAAAAGAGTTTGAGAGAGAGATGCTTACCTTGCAGGGCGACACACTCGCTCTCTGAGATATCCATGAAGCCAACTGCATAGTTCGGATCGTTCAAAGACCTCACCATGTAATTTTTCTTACTTACGGGCCCTTCTCCAGGAACAATGCAGCCCTGTATCGCCACCCCTCTTCTTACCCTCACCTCTATCGATGTCTCCCCTCGCTTGTAGGCCTTGCCCATTACCTTCTGAAGTCCACTCTTTCCCCCTTCAAAGGGCGCGCTTACGCTCGACACGGGACCGATGGTTATTTCCTCAACCATGTCGCCGGTCTGTAACATGTTGTCGTCCCATTCCTCTGCCTTTGAGCTTCCTGTTATACACTGAATCGCGACCACTGATGAGCCTTTGCTTGCAAGATTGCTCGACTCCGGCCTGTTAGATGAGTGGACCCGATCCATCCTCATTTTTATCTCTCCTGTGTACAAAAGCCCGAACCCGAAGCTGAGAATTAGCACCCTTCTGAATATGGGAAATGTTCGGTTTTGAATCTTTGGATTGTAGAAGAAATAATAAGTAAAATATCTCAAAATAACATGTCGATAATTAGAATAAACCCGGAGGGGAATAATTGTCAGTTTCTATGAGGTGATTTTAGTGGGTGGCCGAATTCGACTGTGTTGTTGCATTCATTTGTAATTGAAAAGAAAAAATTAAACTGCTTAATTTCTTAGTCAACTCCATGGGCAGTGCATGACATCCAATTGCCCGACGGGAGCCCATTTTGCTACTTTTTTAGGACAATATTTAACATTCCCAGGACGCTCGACAGATGCAAACGGTAGTTGAAATTTCTTGCCATTGAGGTTTTTTTTTTTTTTTTTTGGATGTGGGAGTGGCCCCTCATAGGGAATTGAGCCTAAGAGATGTAGCGTTGTAAATTGCCAAGCGCTAACCGATTTAAGCCTGAGCCCTTGAGGTACTTTAAAAGGGAATGATTTTTAAAAGGGAATGCTTTTTAGGAATCCTAGGACTTATATCAATATATAGATATACATTCTCTCTTCATAATCCTTTTTGAGATTGATTTTGGATTTAGTTTCTTAGACACTTATAATCTTTAACATGGAGACCAATATGTATAAATAAATTTTAAAAACTAAAAATAATAATATTTCGAAAAACAATTTTAGATCGTTGATTTTTTTTTTTTTTTTTGAGGGGCGACCACTCTATATCCCTCCTTACGATGGATCTGTGATGCCTTGACCCAAAAATCACTTTTCCTTTTAAAAATCCATCCAATATACTCTAGTGGCACATTGGTACCTTCAAACCCCTTCGCAGTGTTTTAAGAATGTGGAACAAGGCTAGGGCGCCATGGCCGGGGCAGCCCTACTCTCGGACCATGGTTGCTCGGCCCTAGCCGAGTTCTCGGGCCATATTTTGTAGCCCAAGCCCTAGTTTTTTAGGGCTAGGCTGACCGGGACGGGCCGAGCCACTTTACCCATTTGCCACCCCCAAGCCGGGGCAGCCCTACTCTCGGACCATGGTTGCTCGGCCCTGGCTGAGTTCTCGGGCCATATTTTGTGGCCCAAGCCCTAGTTTTTTAGGGCTAGGCTGACCGGGACGGGCCGAGCCACTTTACCCATTTTGCCACCCCCCAAGGGGGGGGGGGGGGGGGGACAGAGAGAGAGAGAGAGAGAGAGAG